GTGTGTGTGGAGTAGATAAGGAGGTCGGTGACATCAGAGCAGGAGAACCTGGACTGACCGGAAGCAGCGAACCCGGCTCCAACTGGACAGGGTTCTGAATGGATTCCTGTCATCCAGACTTTCCTGTTTCCTTTTTCACGGCAGAGAGCGCATCCTTTTTCAGTCTTGCAGCAGATTCTCGGCAAAATTTAGATGTAGGCTTTGACTAGGCTACTCTAGTCAAAGCCTGTCTAGTCCACTTTAATCAAACTGCAGTCCGTTTGCCTATAAAGTCCGGTCCGTTTGGGGAGGAGTAAATGCTAATCAAACTCTGAAAAAAGTGAACTCTGGTCCTCCAAACCTCGGCCTGGGTTTGGCTGAGGTGAACTCTGGTTTGGTTTGAATGGACGTGTGAACGCCAAGCGGACCAGCGGAGACCGCTCCAAAAACAGGAAGTGGACTACAGCGCAGGGCATTCTGGGTAAATACAACCAAAACAAACATGCGAGCCTAGTGCTAGCAGGATAAATGGCTTGTGGTCTTTTAACAAAAACGAGAGAAAAATCCAACAACCACTAAAATCCGACTTCATTTTTGTTTACATTTTGTGGAGAAGGAGGTTTTTCTCTGTTTCTTCTTCAGAGGTTTTCATGTCGTTTCTTTCAGTGGTTCTTAGTTTTTGTTTGTGAAAATAAAGGTTTTCCTCTTACTTCAATTAGATACTTTATGTTGGTTTTTCACATAAAATGAAAATCTTTTTTTGTCAAGTGAAAAATGTTTGAGAAGGGTAAATACTTTTCTAAGTTCATTAAGATTCCTTGAACAGGTTAGGATCGGTGTATGGCCTATACAAAGCCTGTTCATTAAATTTTTTGCACAAAATCATTCTTACATAATGAAAGTTCAGCTGTTTCAGGGGCTCTATCACTTAAAATCCAAATAGCCTGCTTTTGGCAATGTTTACACTCGCATGTGAAAATGGCTGCAAACAGATGTACAATATAAAACCATATGTCTTTGAAAAGCAGGAGTGGAGCCTCCTGCCAAACCAACAAGAATGGACGGGAAGTCAACAACATAACACTTTGTCTCTTTCAGCAGCCATTGTACAGTGCATACAGTGGTAAAACCAGCTGAGTAAATGTGCTTCGGTTGCTAGGTAACTGTGCAGCGTTCATAAAATGAAGTTTTGGAAATGGCTCACTTTTCAGACACCAATAAAAACAAACATCTCGGTTTTTTAAGCACTAGGACTGTTTTAGAAGCAGATGAGACCCAAATGGAAGTACAAAAATGTACAAAATGTGAATTTTGCATATGTTCCCTTTAAAGCAGCGTTTACATGATGAAGAGTGTCTGCTTGTGTTCTGGGCTCATCAGCATACAGGTGATTGTTCTGGTGAGTCAGCAGGACTTCAGCTCCCAGGATGCCTGAGCAGAGCAACGACTACCGGGTGGTGGTGTTCGGAGCAGGCGGGGTGGGGAAGAGTTCGCTCGTCCTTCGGTTTGTTAAAGGCACCTTCAGGGACACCTACATCCCCACGGTGGAGGACACCTACAGACAGGTGAGACACAAACAAGTCATTCCTGATTGTTCAGGAAAAACCTCTCCCAGGCGGCAAAACATCATGTCTTCATGTTTTGCCTCAAATATTTGGCTAAAAGGAATGAAGATATGCAGAAACTGAACTGCTGATCCAGATTGTGGCCTGAATGAAGTGGATGTCTGTCGTCTCTGCAGGTGATCAGCTGCGACAAGAGTGTCTGCACGCTGCAGATCACTGACACGACAGGAAGTCACCAATTCCCCGCCATGCAGCGACTCTCCATCTCCAAAGGTCATGCCTTCATCCTGGTCTACTCCATCACCAGCCGCCAGTCCCTGGAGGAGCTCAAGCCCATCTACCAACAGGTCCGTCTGCGCCCCTTCTCAGAAGCCTGCTGTCGCAAAAGAGCGTCAAACCCAAAACTAAAATAACTTCTAGAATTGTGGTTTCATGTTGCTTATTTCGATATATCAGTTGTAGAAAATGTTAGTCCGCCTAAATATATGTTTTAAACTCAGGATTAAGATTAATTTGTGAAAATTCACACACACTTTCACACGTTCACTTCCATGAGTCAGGTGTAGTTCACACTTTGACCACTAGGTTCATATCAAAGCAGTTTTAATAGTATCCTGAGTTTGAGAAGATTGTTAATCGACCAACATTTTACAAGTCCATAAGGGGAGAAGGCCCCCACAGCCCCCAAGAGTTGTTACAGAATATTAGATTCTACAGCGTTGAATGAAAAACTTATGTTTCCAATCAACAGTTAAGACCATAAAACTCCTAATGGATCATTTTTTATGTTGTGATACTTTTAAAATCCAAACACAAATGCCAGAAAAATCTTACCGCCACAGAAATGTATTTGAAATTGAAATTTAACCAAAAAGTGCTTTAATTAATAATGAGTCTACATTTTTTACGACTAGTTTTATAGTTTCAGTTTTTCACTTCAAATGTGTATTTATTTTTCAATTAAATTGTGTAGATATTAAAAGTGGTTCATGTACTTAATAGGCCTGTCGCAATAAGAAATAAATCCATTAGTAAGTAGCATTAATTAATACGAGCTCAATAATTATAATTTTTCCCTTTTCTCTCTTTTTACCAAAAACTGAACGACAAAAATCTTTATTCTGATGTTTTGGTCTCAACCAGCCTTTTATTTTTGCAGGACAGGAATTTTTATGATTTATTGTTTCTGTTGTTTTGTTTATTTATTTTGGATATTTTAAATGTCCTCCAGTTCCAGTGTTAAATATTCATTAGAATTTAAAGTTTATTGAGCTTTGAGGATGCATTATTATGCCATTACTACCATTATGTTACTTGAAAATGGTCTCAAAACAACAATATTATCGTTTATCACAATAATTTCTGGTACATTTTATCGTGACAGGCCTACAAACAGCAATGTTTAGACCTACTGTACTTATAAGTAACTGATTAATCTGCAGATTCTGGCCATCAAAGGGAGCGTGGAGTCCATTCCCATCATGCTCGTGGGCAACAAGAGCGACGAGACGGCCCAGCGCGAGGTGGAGACCAAGGTGGGTGAGACTCAGGCCACTTCCTGGAAGTGCGCCTTCATGGAGACGTCGGCGAAGACAAACAGCAACGTGAAGGAGCTGTTCCAGGAGCTGCTGGCGCTGGAGAAGAAGCGGGACATGAGCCTGAGCATCGACGGGAAGCGCTCAGGGAAACAGAAACGAGCCGACAAGCTGAAGGGGAAGTGCAGCGTCATGTAGGGCGAGGGAGGCGCTGGCAGTCCGCCTCTCTGCTCCAGACGAACAAAACGCCTGGAACATTCACACCGGGCCTGGACCGGACTGGGTCTCTGATCTGTACATATGAGCTCCACTGTTAACAACAACAGGAAATCTGGACCTTCAGGACTCAACGCCGACATTTCTGTTGTTTCTAAACGTTCCTGGACCTGGAAATACTTTAGGATTAAACAATCTGGTGTTTTCCTTTCCTTCTGACTGTATCGGCAGAGTCAGCATGCACCTCAACATGAAGGCCAGCGCCGCTCATTACTGACCATTTATACGCTTTTACCTCTTCTCTGGCTGCTGATATCTGGGAAGAAGTCTGGGAATTCTGATGCAACACATTAATAACCATTTCTGGGACCAGAGGCTGAAGGTTGGAAGGCCAAAGGTCACCTGTTGGCAGAAGGGCCCTGTAGTATCTATAACGTGTTTTTGTTGGTGTGGAACTGGGAAACGTGTCATTGCCGTCATCGGAGATTTACACATTTTTGTTTGATTATTTTTTTTGTTTTTGAGATTGGACCTGCTGGTTCTGATGTTCTCTCAGAACTTTAACACCTGAATAAAACAGGTGTATCGCCTGAGCAACAAGGTTTCAAGTTCTGCAAATCCTTGCTAAGGAACTGATAATTTGATCTGGCTTTGCTGAAGCAGAGATGGACCTAAAAGTTCAGGAATAGTTCAAGGATTGGAGTTTCAGTCCTCAAGTGGTGGGCACAGCTATAACCGCTAATGCGCCAACAGCAGAGCTAATTCTTTTGTTTAGTGTTTGAAAACATCTAGCACACTTAGCTTCCCCTAAATTAATTTTTCCAGAAGAATTAATTTACTTGGCTGTTTTGTAAACGTTCATTTGAATAAAGTTCAACATCTGTGTTGAAGTTTTGGTTATCCACTCGTAAGGTTTCTAATATTCATGCTCTTATTTTGATGTCTTATTCAGCAGCTTCATTTCCTCTTCTCATGTTCTTTGCATGTTTTCTGATTTTGCACATCACTCTCTTCAGACCTCGGCCTGTTTTCTGTCACATCAGCATACGTTTGTCAGATCGTCATGGCACAAACTGACGGCTGTATCTGTCATTACAGCATTACAACATGCTTTTATTTAATCAGCAACATAACATCATAACGTAGCAGTTAGATGTCATACACTTTGTTATTAACAGCTGTATGACATCCCGACTTAGCGGTCAGCTAGTCAGACCATCATCAAGGAACAGGAAGACCCTTCCTTAAATACACTTTGAAATCACGACAAGGCATGTATATCCATCTAGTTATCACTGTGAACAATTTATTGACTTATTTTTGTCGTACCTTGTCGCGTATGCTTAACAGTCGCGGACCTCTTAATGCGCATGCGTACTCACTGCACGTACGCCATTCTCACAGTGTATGCTGATCTGACGTAACAGCCTGTCCACCATGATGGATGTGAAAACAACCTGTGCGCTCTTGTAAATGCCGTAAAAAAACCTCACACGTTTCCTAATATCGCTTTTATTTGATGTCGCAGTAAAAACGGTCACAGGTTGCTGTGCGGTCGGCTGCACAAACAGACAAGGGTGAAAACCAAGCTTGTCATTTTATTAATAACTTTTAACGAGAAATGGTGCGGTGACGTTGGACAGCAGCTGTCAATCACAATGACTGGCAGCCCTCGGTGTAATGGCGGGTTTGCAGCGAACACTTTTTACAAGGTAAGATTAAGTTCATATAATTTATAAGTCAGTATGATTAGAAAAATGTCAAATTTTCCATTATGGCGAAGGTACTCGTCGAGCCATCAGTAACCATGGAAGCCAGGCCGCACCGTCATGTAGCCTAGCATGTTTGGAAAAAAACTGGTTAGCATCTCGTCTTTTATACGTTTTTAAGGTGCTCCGGCTTAAGGGGAAACGCTGTTTATGACGGTGATATAAATCATGTAGTGTGAATTCAGGCAAACCTGGTAATTTGATCAACATGTCAGGGGGGAGGATGTATAGGTCGGTTTCTAAGCTAGCTGTTTCAGGCATCTGTAAAAACCGCTGTCAGTGAGCCCCAGCCAGGTCTGTTACTTTCAAAGATAAATTAGCTCGACTCGAACAAGAAGAAGCCATGAATAAACTGACTAAAACAACTTGGGAAAACAACTTCAGTCGCTCAGTTCAAAACTCCCGATCCTCATTTAATACGTCCATTATGGCGCTTCGAACGATTTAGTGACGTAGTTGCAACGGCAAAAGGTGAACCAATCAGGTAACATCAGCTTCAGAGTTAGCCATACTTAGCAACCATAAAACTGAAACCAGGAGTGAAAGGCCTGGTCCAAAACTCACTTCCTGAAGCTCAAGATGTGCAAAAACAAATGTGATCCTGTGAAGGGAAAATACTACGTGTCATATGTATGATGGTATCAAATATGGTTAAAATTAGTGTGTTAGCATTAGCTTCCACTAATTGCTATGTTGATTTAGCATTAGAGGAGCTAATGCTAATGATTGGTGCTATAAGATTAGTGCAACTAACTTTTAGCACTGCCCACCACTTATCAAATTTTTTATATACATTTTTATTTAAACTATTAAATGTAACAAACATTTACCATTAAAAAATGTGGTTTCATTCCTTCACAAAGTTAATTTATGTATCAAACGTATATGTCTCCAACCTTTATCTGATTTGTGCTAAACTCTAAACAAAGTACATTAAAAGGCTGCTGCTCAGTTTGTTGATGTTTACACACTGAACAAAGTTTTAGTTTTTTATGAATTTAACGAACTAAAGTTTTTTCAGTATTTGACCTACAGTAATTCACAGATAATTTTCACAATGATTTTTTTTTCAAACATGTTTGAAACAAAATGTAGCTTGGGAAGCTGAAATTGTCACAGTATGTGGAGGTGACGTGGTGAAGTATATGAGATGGAGCCAGATATGAAGAGTAAATTATGTTTTAATGAAGAATAATAAACAAATCCAGGCAGCACAGGTGAACAGAGGCAAACAAACACTCACTGGTAGCAACTAACAATAAATACAACTTCAGACAGAATAGACAAAGACCTGAAGAGACACAGGTGGGATTAAATACACGAGGAGTAATCAAGGAAACAGGACACAGCCGGGATCAATCAAGGGGTAGACAGGACAACACAGAAACTCAACTGACACAGAAACCTAAATAAACACACAGAAAACTCAAATCCTCACAGAAATCTTGGCTGGCATTTGAAAAGCAGCCAATCTACGGGCACCATTAATTTTTATTGGCGCTGATTGAACTGCACCTTTGACTGTAGACCAGGGGTGTCCAAAGTGAGGCTCGGGGGCCGGAAGAGAGAACGGGAGAAGAGACTGAAAGATGGATGAATAAATTCTAGCAAAGCTGAATTCATTGGTTCTGGACCGACACAATCTCTAACAGACTTGAACCAAGACAACAATACAATATCATAAGAATAACAGCTTAAAATCAGCAAAACATGAAGCAAGCCTGCAACAGATAGGAGGTTAACAATAGCATTAATTTAAACTCCTAATTGATCAAAGTCAATCATCAGTCAGGTCAAAGCAATGTCCCAAAATACAAAAATGAATGGAAAGGAAAAAAAATTCTAATAGCAGTGAATTTCTTTATGGTTCCTGGACCACAGAGAACTACATTTAAAGCAGAAAAATAAAGAACAGAACAGCAGAGGCATCAGAACAATGAACGCTGATCAACAATCAGAGAGGAGAGAGAAAATCTATCTGGGCTTACAGAACTCTGCAGAACATGCAGTGTTATGAAGCCAAACCCCAGCGTGCAGCGGCTGAGTGAATCTGGTCTGGACTCTGTGCAGGAGAGTCATGGTCTTAGAGACGCTGTAGAAGGACAGAAGACCTGCTCCGTGATCCAGGAACACTCCCACTCTGGAGGAAACTGGACTCGAGATGGAGGTCCAGATGTTGTTGTGACCAAATTCCATACTGCTTTGGGAACAGTATAGAGCCCAAGATTTGTCATTACCTCCAAATAAACATTCATCCCCATCTCCTGCTCTGCTCATATTCTTGTATACAACAGCTACATAAACTTGTTTCCCGCTCCACTCCACCTCCCAGTAACATCGTCCAGTCAGACTCTCTCTGCTGAGAACCTGAGGATGATTAGTGAATCTGCCTGGATGACTAGAATAAGACTGAGGCTGACCCATCGCCGTCACCTTTCTGTTCCCCTCTGACAGCACCAGCCGTGTGTTCGCTGTGTTTGGATCCAGAGTGATTTCACATGAATATTTTATTAATCCAGCTCTGCTCTTTGGTTCTGGTTCTGAGAATAGATTATCCACCTCAGTGACCATCAGTGAGATGTTTGTCCATGAGTCTCTCAGGACGTCCTGTAGTTTGTCTCTGAGCTCTGACACAGCTGCTGTCACGTCCTCAAAGTGTCTCAGAGGACGGATGTTGATGCTGGATGAGCCTTTAGGCTCCCTGGGTGGCAGTGAGGGGTAGTTGAGGAGAAACTGGCTGTGATCCTCTGTGTGTGAGAGCTGCTCCAGCTCAGCGTCTTTCCTCTTCAGCTCAGTGATCTCCTGCTCCAGCTTCTCCTGAACATCTTTGACTCGACTCACTTCAGTTTCCTGCTGGGATCTGATCTGCTGCTTCGCCTCAGAGCTTCTTTTCTGGAGGAGACGGATCAGCTGGGTGAAGATCTTCTCACTGTCCTCCACTGCTTTATCAGCAGAGTGATTGATGGCCTCCACCTCCTGTTGAAGCAGCTTCACATCTTTCTCCTGGTTCTGGATCATCTGCTGGATTTTTCTTCTTCTCTCCTCCAGCTCTCTCTGCCTCTCAGTCCTTTCTGCTGCAGCTGACACTGTTTCATGGCCTTTATGTTCATCCATAGTGCAGAGATAGCAGATAGACTTCTGATCAGTGCGGCAGAAGACTTCCAACAACCTATCATGCTTAGAGCAGATGTTCCCCTGGAGGTTCTTGGACGGCTCCACCAGCTTGTGTTTCTTTAAAGGAGCCACTTCATAATGAGGCTGCAGGTGTTTCTCACAGTAAGAGACCAAACAGACTAAACAGGACTTGATGGCTTTCAGTTTTCTTCCAGTGCAGGAATCACAGGCCACATCTTCAGGTCCAGCATAACAGTGGTCAGCAGGAGCAGCTTGGAGTCCAGTCTTCTTCAGCTGCTCCACTAAAGCTGCTAGGATGGTGTTCTTCTGCAGGAGAGGCCTTGGTGTGAAGGTTTTCCTGCACTGAGGGCAGCTGTGGATTCTTTTGTAATCCTCTCCATCCCAGAAGCTTTTAATGCAGTTCATGCAGTAGCTGTGTCCACAGGAAGTAGTCACCGGATCCTTCAGTAGATCCAGACAGATTGGGCAGGAGAAAGTGTCTCGGTCTAGCTGAACTGCTTGCTGCTCCATTTCTGTTTTCAGTCACAGTGACTGTTAGTTTCGTTTCCTGAGAACAGAAAACAGGCTGAGCTCTGATCTACCAATCAGGTGTCAGTACAGAGGAGCTGCAGCCAATCAGCTACCAGCTTCAGCAGCTGTTCGTTCCACCCAGTTTCGGGAAGTATTTGAGACCAGGAGGAACAGAGCTCTTTATAAAGTCACTTTCAAATGACTTTATGAAAGTCATAAAGTCATAAAGTTTCAAGTTGGACTGTCTTCACAACAGTTTCCTGTTCACAATAACCGACCGAGTCACCAAAGCTCAGATCTCTAGTATCTAATTGCTCCACAGTTTCAGTAAATGTAACTAAATAAATAATGACTGCTGAAAGAGCTGGATGCGTTTGGTTGCTCAGTGAAATCTATTGCCTGTTTTGTAACTCCCCCGTAATGGCAGGAAGATACATAGAGATCAATGATTGCTCACAGCTGCTATATGATGTTTCATCAGCAGAGTGATTGATGGCCTTCATCTCCTGTTGAAGCAGCTTAGGGCTGTTGTAAAAGAATAGTTTAGTAATCGAGTACTCTATACCAGTGGTCCCCAAA